TGGAAACGTTCTTGCAGTCAGGTCTTGCACAGCCCACGCAGGTGCCGGTGGGATGCTGGCTGGGCGATCATTATGGTATGATGGGTGAATATCCCCTAGGGCTCCAACCATCTCCTCACGTTCGGTGGTTAGACGCCCCAAATCCACCCCAAACATCTCCTCAGGAGGTGGTTGGAGCCCTAGGGATCACTATCGGTGATGCACTGGAAACAAAAAACATCTGCCAGTTCTTTTGCTCGGGGCGGAGGTGTGAGGGAGTACCTTCATGCTTGGCGTGAAAGCCCAGTTCCTTCGTTGCAGTAAGCTTTTAGCACCCTTTTGAGGGTCTGCGGTATGCAGGGAAAAGGCATTGTTTCGACCAACTTCAATGTGCCGGATTGTATTAAGCAACGTATCGATCCATTGCGATGGAGGCAACATCGCAATTGAGTGACTGGTCACGGCTTAAAACCCTCCACCGTTCCTTTGCCATGTGGGGGCCACTCCACAGTTGTCTTGGTCGCCATGTGCAGCGCTGACAATGTCACAGAGGCCGTGGAGGCCTGCGGGGACTTGGGACCCCACAATATGCATTATATAGGTGAGTAACCCAGCAGGAGCCTCCAAAGGCCTCAAAGAATTATAGTACGATTCTGTTGGCGTGGTAAACTTGAGCGCGCCCTTAAATTTAAGCGGGTGTGAAACGTCACAAAAACAGTGAGCTGCAAAAAAATGGAAGCTCACATGACTTTCTTGATTCTGTCCTCTTTCCGTAGGCTGAGCGGTGAGGGTCGTAGATGCGCTCCTCGCATGCAGGTTTGAGTGTCGTAGGTGTGACGTTGAAAGGTTGTAGGCTGCGGTAAGGGTAAGGCGCGGGTTTGAGGGCCCACCGCAGGCACACCTTGCTCCAATTTCAGTTCCTGGCTTGGGGGCACAAAAAGTATGGATTCTAAGGACCACATGGAGTTGCGGCATACTCTGGAGTTGAACAAAAGTGTTGCGCGTCAGCCGGGCATGAATCGTCTAGCAGCTTCAAAAGCTAACTGCAAAGTGATGGCTCTCTGCATAAGGCATGCGCATCCCGACGTGCAAGACCGTCTTTGTTTCATTGCTTGCTCAAGTGTTTTTCTGGAGCTTGTTCTGGCGGGTTCAGTTTTGGGGGGTTCAAATTTGGGGTCCAGTTTCGGGCCCCCTCAAGCGTGTGTTTATGAAAAACAAGAAGCGTGTGCTTCTGCTCCTTTGGCTCCTTTGGTACCTGTTTTGGGTCCCGTTTTGGGAACCAGTACTTGAGCAAATTTTTAAAAGTGTGGCTCCTGGCCTGCGCTGTTGGCGCGGAGAAAGTTTGTCAGGCAGTTTTGTTGACATATTGTAATGCTGGCCTTTGAGAGTGTGCGCAGGCGCACACTCCTCAAGAGGCTTCTCATCCTTCCAACTTGCGCGTGCACCAGCGAGGCGATTTCCGTGTGCCATGCCTGCTGCCCAGCGCACTTGTTGCCAGCGTAGTCAACGCTCCTGCCGAGTCGTTCGGAGCGGGTCAAGCCTACCGCCACTGCTAGGCCCCCTCATATGTCACGCTCCCCGTCAGGGATGCTGCCAGTCCACCTGGCTCCAGGACCCATGCCGGTTGAGGTGGTCAAAAGGCGAAAGGCCCGTGTTTCAACTGCGGTCCCGTCGTTGTGGGAATTGACGTCTGAGGCCAATTCACTCTCATGGTCTAGCACAGTTCCAGCCGGCACCATGCTGAAATGGGTCTGTGGCAGATTCTTGTCATATTGGAAGTCTTGTATCGGAATGTGCAGTGCCTCAGCCCATGATTCTAGTGCACAATGGATACGAGGTTGGCGAGCGGAGTGAGCGCGACCATGTTGTCTGACTCTTGCGACAAAGGCACGTCGCCATGGCTCAACCACAGGACTCAGCACGGCCTTCTGCCCAAATCTGGCGGCACTGACATCGCTACTGCCGACCGCAGCAATGATGGTCCTCTTCAATTCTTGAGGCCGTGCGCGTGCGGCTTCCAACGCTGGGACGCTAGGATCTGACTAAACTGCAACACCTCCGCGGCCTTTTCCTGCGCTTTCCCTCACACTATACAGTATATTTAAACATATTATTCCTCTTTTGAATCTTCCGAGCCACTCAATTGCGATACAATGGTCTTGATATACACGATATTCTTGGGAATTGAGCAGCAATCATTACAGCATGGTGTGGTAATGTGTGGTGTATAACGACTGTATCACAGTCAGGGAGTCAGGAAGCCAATCGATCCAGTCAATTTGTTCGATCGAGTTCTGTGGCTGCATCTTTGGGCTTGGGATTTAGCGCACGATTTGAGTGTCTTCACATGTCTTCACCTTTTCCCGCAAGCTGCAGCCAGCAACTAGCCAAGAGTGCTTGGTTGATACAAATGCTTGCAAAGCATGGGAGGATTGTTGCAATCCATTGTGATCCCTACTACATTGACTTCAGAGTTAGATGGCACTATCCCCAAAAGGTAAACGGACCTCCCATATATACTGTAGAGGACATCATTGGGTTTGTGCGATCGAACCTCTGAAACCACTGTAAACCGAAGCGCAACGGCGGCAGCAACCTCACACCGTCGGCACCCGTGTCACTTCGCAGCTGTCTCTACGTGATCTGGCACTGGTGCTGACGGCACAACACGGTAACTGCCGTTTGGAATAACAGAAGTTTCAATGTTGAAGAAAAAGCGGCCATGGCAGAGCCTCTGTTTCCTAAGTCCTTTTGCAGGTTGCAGGATTGAGATGGCTCGATCTATTTGTGTCAAACTCTGCACTCTATTCCAAAATCTACTGAACGAACTCATGGACAAAGAAGGACATAGATAGACATTGGGTTCCAAACAGAACAGGGGTTCTCCTCAACATTTCCCAAAGAAACTCACCCTCATGGTTTGGCACCATCGCTCATGCTTCTCACACCGCTATCAAGTCCATTGCAGCGCTCCACTGAGAATCCCCACGGCCCCGGAATCTTTGGAGGGCGAAGAGGCCTCTGGGCGACTCGTTTCAGGAGTCTTTGGCGCTTTCAGGAACCCATTGATGTCCGAAGGGATGGAAAAACAGCCGTCAAACATCTCCGTGAACAACAAATGCATAGCTCGGAGCCTCGGACAATGGACTCCTCGTCATAGCTACGACACGCGAAGCTTGACTCGCAAATCACTGGACTCGCTGAGGCGACCTGGACGGACCTGGCGACCTGGAGTGAATGACAAATATAGAGAGTGCCCGAAGACTTTGGAGTCATTCACTGCAGTATGCACTCACTCACTTTGTGTGTTGTTTTGATTATGGTGTATCATGAATTACCCAATACAAGTTCCAGTTATCTGATCTGTTTTGTTTCTTCAACAGACCGGTACCAATGCTTTCATAGAAAGCCACCCAACGTCTTGGGTGCGAATAGGTCGGCGAAACCGAACATCTTAAACGGTTGGGGCTTAAACGGTTGGGCTTGAACGGTAGACGACCTATGCGGTTGGCACATCTCGATCCTTCATCCTGATTGGGGAAATGATCTACTTAGTACTTGCATGGTGAGATGACGACATTGCTTAGCCATAAGACAATAGGGCCAGGGCGCATAACAGAGGTTCTGCAGGAATCAACAGTAGACATGGAACTAACTTTGCGATTGGCACAACTGCTTCAATTTTGCCCTCACTACCAAGGAGCATTGTGCCAATAAACATCAATGAACAATCATGCCCCTCTTGTGCAGCGCCTTGGCTTCATTCTGCACTGCAGCAGCGGCCACATGCCTCTCCTGGTGGAGAGATTGGGAAAGGCGAATTTGGATGAATTTGGAACTTCCCAAATCACAGGGAAGTTCCAAATCTAGGGAACTTCCCCGTTTTCCTTTGATCGCTAGGAATTTACCCCTCTTCCCTAGATTCCGATGATTCCTTTGACAAGTTCTGGTCAAAATCACAGGGGTTGGGCGCCAAGGGCGGCCAAGGGCCAGGTGTCCAGTAGACATGAATTGGTGCCAGGTGTGCATGGGCAAGAAAGGCACCTTCGAGGTTAAGATGCAACCCAGCGACCCTTGGCTGGTGTGACGACCCTCCAGTCACCGAACGCCCGACTGGGTCTGCGGTCACTACCCTCTCTTACTAGTCAATGATTGCAAGTGCTGACCTGTGCTAATGACTTTTGGTTGAGGGATCACAACATGTTTGGGATTCAAAGGCTAGTGAGTTCACCCAACCAAACGGCTGACCCACGTTCACCCGCCAGTGCAGTCTCCCCTGTGAACCAGCGCTGAAAAACCGCGGTCCTCGTAGCGTTGTCGATCCTCCTCGTAGCGTCCGGCGAAACGGGGCAGGAGCGACAAAGAGCAATGAGAACCCCACTGAAGGTACCAACAGCCGTGTTCTGTAGACTCTTGAGGACCATAAACCCCCCCATATGAAGAGGTGCTTCAATTCAAACGGGAGGCGGGTGGTGGTCCTCAAGAGTCTACCTTACTTGTTCTGAACCCGCGGTCATAAAGACCAGAAGGTGGGACACAACCACCATGCCATGCCGGCCAGAAAAAAACACCCGTGTAACCGATTTTTTGGTTGTTCTCAATTCAAAGTGTAACAACAAGATTAACCACTTAACCAGTAAGCAAGGCAAAACACAAAAAAGAAAAACAACAACAACACACACACAATTGGACCTTGTTCAGGCTGCTCAATCCTTAGGATGAGTTTGGCCATTTCTAGACTTGGATGGTATAGTGATGTATAGTGGTTGCTATAGTGGATATACCTCACACATATACGTGGCTGATGGATTCTGGTGAACAACCATATTCTGAGAAGCGCATCAAAGATCCTTCTGAATAGGATTCAAGTTACGGATGCTTGATGATACCAGCGGGAGCGTCCTCGTAAGACTTACGTTTTTGCACATCCTGGAGTGCCAAACCCGCCCAGGCCGCCCAGGTTGAAGCGCACGAACCACCTGTCCAGATAGCAGACAAAAGGTCGACTTTTTTCACTTACAATGGTTTTCATCTGTCCATGTTTTGATCAGCTCAGGCCGCTCTATTTCACACTGGGCCGGGACGTCAAGCGATTCTAGGGTGTAGAGGTCTTTGCCTTGACAGGTGCATCAAGCCAGAGCCAAACCGAGTCGAATTTAATGACAGTGTCCTTTTGCACAAGCTTGGGTGGTGGCCTCAAACTGCAAGTTGACTTGTCTGGTTGTGCGTAGCACGTAATGGGCTGCTCTGCATTCGCTTTGTTGTAGTGGAACGCATAGTGCTTGATTGTACCCACAGCGCCATACTTGGCTTCAGTGAAGCATTCGTAGGGGCTCTTGGCCATCTTCTTTGTGTCAATCATCTTCTTGCACTTCATTTTGCTTGGTATGTGAGAGTAAAGCCAGCCTTCCTGCTTGGCGCAAACACTTATGCGCAACTCCTGCATGTCACTCGTGCATGTATCCATCTCCTTGGGGATACAGTTGGTGGGTGTACCCTGTATCTCCATGAGCGAAGCTGTTTCAAGCTTCTTTTGTTTGAACCAGCCTTCGTCGAGCGCCTTCTTCCGGATGTTGGGCTGAAGCAGTAGGAGCTGCTCGGTCACTTCTTCCCCAGCCTTCGGCTTTGGCTGCAGCCAGGTGTAGTTCCGGCCCAGCTCGGAGTCGACGCCTTTTTGGGTCCACAGAAGTTGGAAGTCTTGGCCAACATAGGCCGCGGCCACATCTTTGCCCTCCTGGCTCAGGTCATTCTTCGAAGCCAAGTCTGCATCGTGCTTCTTCAGCACCGAGTTGCACATCTTTTCGCGGCTGGAGTTCTTCAAGACCTGAGGATGGCTACGTATACGCAGCAACATCTTTTGGTTCTAAGAAAGCATTTCTTTGCTTCATGAGTTTAGTGACCTCTCGTCTACAGCGATTGCTTTTGGAGTGCCTAACCAAAGTACCAGATCTAGCTACTATACAGTTTGTTGCTCAACTGAGCTTCCTTTTGAAAAAGGCATCCAGCTCACGAATGCGTTTCGATGCGTTCAGTCCACTGAGATGCTGACGTTATATTCAGTGCAGCATTCAGCCTGCCAATCAGCCTTTTGCCGCTCATCGAAAAACGGCCAAGAGATGCAGCTGCGGCCGTTCCACCCGCAGGACCGGCCGCAGCATCCGAAGATCTCCGCCTCAGCCTGCTTCACAACGCGATCGGCACACGTCTCGCCGACGGGTATGGCTCTGTCATCACCACCTCGAGGGCTGCCCATGTCTCTTTGCATCTTCTTCATTTCCCCCTTCGTCTTCTTCACCAACTCTTTGCACTCGTCTCTGCATACTCGATTTAAATGCCAAGCGACGGTCTTTGGAGCTTCTGCAAGCAAGGCGTCCAAGCGCCCGTAGGGACCCGTCGCCTTTCTATTGGAGAGTTGCCCCTCGCATACGGACACCGAGGGGACTGAGTCCTCGTCGCCCTCCTGGGCCGCTGCTTCGCAAAAGGCCAGGGCGGCCGTCTCCACGGGGCTCTTGATGCTCCTTGCCCATACTGGGGCGGGCTCGCAATGGCAGCCAGCGGCGTTGCCCACAATGGAGAAGGTTTGTTGCCCCGGCCTCGAGCACTCGGTGTTTGCAACCTGAGTATGGCAGTCGCAAAGGATTTCTCCGGTCGCTGGGTCGGTCCCACGTCCTGAGGCACCAAAGTCTTTGCCGATGCAAGGATCTTCACATCGGCACTTGGAAGGAGTCTCTGGCAGGACGAAGAATTCCATCAAAGGTTTCTCACAGTGGGCGTTTGTGACTGTGAACGTACGCCATGCTCGGTGGCACTGGCAAAGGTGGTTCTCACCTGCCTTGGCTCGAAATTTCTCGCAAGGATCTCTTTCACATCCGGCACTTGGAGGGAGTCTCTGTCAAGATAAACTCGTCCACCAAAGATTTCTCACAGTGGGCATTTGTGAACAAACCCTCTTGGCATTGGCACAAGGTGTCTTTCTTGAAGATTCTTGAAAGCTTCCGCTTTCTTTTGGCACCCAACTCGGCGCACGGATCTTTCCAAAAGTTGCTCTGGTCGCTCTCTAGCTCGGCCACAAAGGCCTCCTGACTCACAAGTTCAAGGCGCGGGCGGGCGGCCTTCACCACAAGTAGCGAAAGAAGACTTGCCAAACAACGAAAAGCGCACATGGCGGGCGGGAATGGATCGAAACATGTTGAGTTGCCTCAAACCAGCTCGCGCCGAAACAACATGGACACACTGATTCAAAAGGATTGGAGGCAAATGCGTCACGGCCACATTGTATTTCCTTGGTTGATCAACACTCACTCATTCATATCACTAAAGATTGATCCTGAAATGTCCGAAAATTGCAAGACCGCCATGTTTGGATACACCAGGAGATGTATCCCCATTACATGAGCTACAGCACAATACTAAAACATCCCAGTGAAAAGCCACCGCCACTTAATCGTCGCGAGCGGCGAGCGGCGTGGCCCATCTCCTCCAGTTGCCGCAAGATGGCTTCTCGCTCTCGCGCACGTTCCGCTTTGTTGGGCCCTGTACCCAACTGGCCCTGGAGGAGGTGCGGTGCGTAAACAGCGGTACGTCGTCTGGTCCAACCTAGTAAACGATCTAGACGGTGTTGTGACCTCCAAACGATTAGTTGAAGACCGACACCAGTAAGGTCATTGACCTGTAGGGTGTCGATTTTTTTTTTCAGCTCAGTTGGACATGCCGCCAGGCCCCTAGGCTTGAAGCCCGGCCCTTGGGTGACTCCCAACATGATTAGGACGGCGTATTTCCAAAAAAAATCCCAGCATAATACTATTACTGCCAATCTGCAGAAAACACCCTTCTGGTTTCCCGTAAAGGGTCGTAGAGATTGGGATGTAAGATACCTGTCACCTATTGATCGATGCCTTTGTCAGGTTAGGGGGCCACTCTGCAACATTTTTCTGTAGGTTTTTAGAGACAAGTGGCACTTGCGAGGCTGAAGTTCGCCACTTGGTTCGCTCATCAACTCATCTATTCTCAAAGGGTACCAAGTTTTTTGGTCGGCAAGGTGAAGAAAACACACAAAGCTTCCAGGGACGGTGGAAAGGTACAAATCAGAGTGGATCAGGTTTATTGGTGTGCTTGGCATGCGGAGTATGTGCTAGGCATGCGGAGCTTGATATGTGACTTTGAGCTTGGGTCTATCCTATTAGCAGTAACAGTGGATGATGATGGTTAGCAAAGGCCTTTCTCAAAAATAGCGATAATCTTTTGCCGACTGTTACTGGTAATAGGCTACACCCTACTTTGAGCTATATAATTAGGTTTCCGAGACTTAGGCAGGTTGGTATAATGTTGAAGCGTGGCGAGCATGCCTCAAATCTCAAATGCTTCAATTTAACAATAAAACACATAGGTTGAGACTGCGCACTATCAATTCTAGTTGTACTGTAAATCAGTGATTGGGCCTGAATAGCGCCTGATTCTCTCTTTATTGGTGAGATTCATTGTAATTGTGGAAGTCAACGATGAAGCCTGCGGAACACCCCGACCACTCGCTCTGGCCATGCGCCAGGCGCCTTGATCCGGCCACTCTCTTGTGAAGGCATGGGCATAGCTCCTTGCCAACGCCAAGTCTCCATGGTGATGTGGTGTCGATTCTACAATTCGTGTTGTCCGGGCCACAGGGAGCAGTCCAAAAACTTGGGGAAACAAAATTGGATCGAAGTGGCACCGTGACCTGGAATCGGCAGCATCGAAGCATTCGGGGTTCAAGCCAGAACGAATGAACAGACTGTCGTCGGGACTCTTGACTCGTCTGACGTTTGGGTATGGGTCTGATCCCGTTATGACAAGAGGTACATGTTAATCATGTTATTATCAATATATGTGGTCTGAAACTAAGGGCTCTCTCTCTCTCTCTCTCTCTCCACTCTCCACCCAAAAAATCTGCAAGATACCCCAGTTAGTCTTACACAGATCCATTGTGCTAAGGGTGCTAGGAGGGACGCATGGATGGAGACAGCAAGGACATCCGGAACCCTGTGAAACCACAATTATGCTGACGGGTTGATTGATCAAGAAGACACCTGGATGCAAAACCCAGATGGTCAAACACCTCTATATCGGAGATCACTCCCTAGGCCTCCAACCACCTCAGGTTCGGTGCCTGGGTGCCTGGAAGATTGCTTCCCCGGTGGAAACGAACCGTGGATGGAATGATCATATGTTAGATCAAGTCTTTTTGCATCTGTCCAACACCACAGGTATAGTATACAACTGGTCCAAATAACAAAGTTCCAACATGAACGCTGAAAATGAGTACACTATGCAGTAGTTAGAAGACATATCCAACATGTGGTTCCAATAAATGTGGACAACAATGAGAACACATTCTTTTTGGCGGTCCTCCTTCCGATCCAATCAAAAACCCTTGAACACCCCAAGAGCGGCTCCTGTGGCTGCCTCATACACATCCGAACAGCCGAGCCATGGGCAAGTGGGGTGTAGCAAGGGCCATTTGGAGAGAGAACCCCTATCAGGGGCGCCTGTGGGTTGGTGGTCAATTTGTTTGATGGGGCATGGTCTCTGGGCACCTTCTAAGACATCCATTTGGTTGTGGCAAGCTCAGAGTAACTAGTGGGGACAGAAGAAGGTCTTCCAGGCTAGTGTAGGAGACCATTTCGCCATGGTCACGTCTCACCAGGAAGACCCGATATCCCTGAGACTATGGAAGGATTCCATGCCGCATGCCCCATGCCAGCGCCGTGGGTTTGTTCGAGGCTCCTGAAGGAGGCTTCTAGGCCCTAACTGCTTTGGATATCGTTGGTTGAACCTCTGCAGAAATTGTGACAGAAGTAGTTCAACGAACAGCTCACCCCAATCTGGACTATGTGGATTTATACTCAAAATCATACCCCAATCTGGCCCTTCCACCCTTCTGGCCGAACTTTCGGACTTCGAGACAAACCGTCCCACGTGGGCGAGAACATCGACGTCGGACGGTTGGGCGACCCCTTTTGGGTGTTGGCATGACTCAATGACCACAAAGAAGTTTCACCCCTTGGCAGTAAAAGCTGAAATACCTGCCCTTGGACTCGACCCGGCGCTCCAAACCTCCCAGGCATGCCTGCGAAGGCTTTGGTGGGGATTCCTGTCGAGGCTTTCCACGAAGGTCACTCATTAAGTGTCGATGGAGGCCCCGTGTGATTGGGTCATTGAACCTGTAGCTACCCCACCAAACCATGGGAGGTTGACATCCAAACCATGGGAGGTTGACATCCCTGAAACAGAGGAATCGGTTCATTTTCAGTCGAGCTTGCTGTGGCGTGTGTCAAGTGTCACTGTGGTGTGTTCTGTATCCCCAATAGAAGATGTGTGACACAAAACATTTCCAGTGTGGCTTTAACCAGCGATGAGGTATAATGTACCAGCTAGATTGCATGAAGTGAGGCCACTGGGACTGACTTCTGGCCAAGAGTCTCCAAGCCTCCAAGAGTCTCATCATGTGTTGACGTCTTGGAGTGCTTCCATCGCACCATGAAGTCTTCCAACAGTAGCCATGTGCTGAGGTTTGCCATCCTTGCCTTCACGAAGTCTGTTACCCATTCTAGAAGCAAGTCTTCAAGCTTCACGTAGCGACTTGCTTGTCAGGTTCTGAACTTCTGTATTAGCTTGACTAATAATACAATCAACGTTCCACGTTCCCGCCCTAGACTACACTGGTGTGAACCACACCGTGCAAGAAACGTCTGATGGAGAAAACGTTGCCGACCCGAATTCACGACTAAGGTCCCTCTGAACACGAGGTGTCCATCCTCACTTATTCCTGAGGTCCCCGTTCTGCCCACACCAAAAGGCTCATGGCACCCCCATAATCCATTCACACTTCAAAGACACAAAACAATCACAGTTATATAGCATGCCCCTATAAACCATACAATCGGAACCCTCCAGATGTTCATACAAACTTCCTATACCTTCCTGGTTTCCACCAGCGCTTGGAGTGCTTAGGCACTTGGACAAACACCTCCGTGCTCAAAGACCTCCGTGCCCCGTCACCCATCCGCCCCGCTGCATCCGTGGCCTCTTTCCGCTGACCTGGCAGGAGGCTCCGAACGTCCCGTCCCATCTCCGGTGACAGGTGGTCCGAACAACCAACCAGCACCCACCCAGCCAAGCATCTTGGAAACGGATTTTTCAGTTAAAAGAACGTTAAAACCAGTGAAATTACCTTTATAATCTATACCAGCATCCTCACTGCCAGGTCACCAATTGAGACCTGTTGGGGCCCAAGAACCCTCTAAAGGAGACCTGTTGGAGGATGCTGGTATAAAGTCAATGAAATCTGATACATGGAATTCCAGTCGCTGGCAACTGGTAATTGGTGCCGGTGTGCGACTTCAACAATGCAGCCAAACATGCCAACGATGTGTAATGCCCTTAAGGTTCTGTTCTACTTTCAACCCACCAAGAGGAAAACAGAAGGTTCAGAGGTGAAGGAGACATCGCCCCAAATGGAATCGTGTGAACAACTACCAACACATGCGGCAGCATTAAAGAAACATAAAGAAACACATTCAACCAACAAACACATGTCAATCTTCTTTTGCAGGGATCGTGGCCATGCTTTACAAAAAGGCCGTCATTTTGTGGGTGCAACCTGAATCACTCAATCCAGCAGTAGATCTCTGATAAAAGGGAATTTGCTGTTCTGTTGGATCTGGTGGAGAATGGATCCATTTCTTGATCCAACACTTTCGTCTTCTCGCTACGCGCGCAAAGTCGACCGCGCAGCGTCAAAACAACGCCACGAAGAGCGACGAACCGCTGCTTGCGGTCCGCCGGAGGCCGCGAAGAGCGGAGGTCCGCATCTAGGGCGGACTGATCTGTGAATCTTGGACTTGTGAACAAATCTTAGTCGTTGAATCGAGCGCGCTGTTCAAGTAGACGAAATTCAACCTCTACCAGCAGCTTCATGTCGGGGTCACCTGGCTGGAAGTCCCTACACGACCTAATTATAGGGACCTCCAAACAGGACACCCCTTTTTCAGGTCCAGGTATGACTTATCTGACACGATCCGTTTATCGGCCCCGCCCAATGGCGAAACACATGGTCCGCAGAGTCGCTCATCGTCCATCGACGGGCGGGGAACGCCGCATTCGGTGCCTTCCAAACGCCGCTCAAGAGCCG